AGCTATTTTTCTTCTTGATAAGTTTTCAGAGCCTGTATGGAGAAAACAAATGAACAGTAAAAAGTGCCGAAAGCGATTGTGGGTGTATTTGTGATAAGTTTAATCTGAGACAAAGCTTTTTCAATGATCAATATCACCAATATACACATTATACTGGTGCTTATAGATATTCATGACTTTAATAGTTTGAAATGACATTTGCATTTCCTTGTATAGACCTTTCATTGCTACAGAGCTTTGCAGGTTGCTTGACCCACTTCCTGCTCACGTGACATGTATTATTAGTATGGTGAAAGTCACATGATTGACGAGTTTAAAGGGTCAAGCAACCTGCAAAGCACTGTAATTAAATCTAGCAGTGACTTGTTTACATACACCTACCTTTGATGTCATTGATTACAGCATTAATAGGTTTTCAGGGATGCTTAAGAATCTTTATACATTTTTATAATGATTGTACATCAAGTTTAAATTTATGGTTACATATTAGCTATCAACATTAGCTCAAACTTCAATATAAGTAGATGTATATGCATAAAAAATATGAGAATTTTTTCCTAGTCATTTCATGCAAAATTTGGTACACTTTGATACAATTTTTGAGCAACTTTAAAAATTTATTAAAAACCCAATTTTGATTGGAATCAGCTCAAACTTCTATACAAGCATATATAATAGGTAATTACTCTAATATCTGTGAGATAAGTTGTACCGTATTTCCATAAAAGCCCAGGCGTCTATTTCCTAAAATGGTATTTGGACCTCAAAAAAAATAAAACTTGGTACCAGAGTGAGATTCAAAACAGTGACCTCACACACTCGACTTCTGGAACTTAAGGAAGTATCTTATTATTATTATTATTATTAAAGACTTTACAGGACAAATAGAATTTATGTAAAACACATTAAAGCAAAAAGTAATCTAGACATATTGTAGCATGTGGACCTTGTCCTGACACCCTAAAGCTAACTACTAAAGTACAAGTAACTTGGTACGGGTTCTAGCAGCTATAGGAGTCCATGATTTAGTATTACATGTAGAAATAATTATGAAGACCTGGTGCATGAAATAGTTGAAATTTTATCCTGTCAAAAAATCCACATTTATGTAACAAGGTAATACAATTAATATTCTATTGTCTCTATCAGCAACTCCTCTAATCTTTTAAAAATATTCCGTGATGTTTTGGTGTTCTTTTCCTGCGACTGTTTCCTTACGAAATGATACAAATTCTTCACAAAATCCTTCCTATTTTCACCCATTGAACAAACAAAATTCCTAAAGTAAAATAAAGACAGAAATTACAAGCAACTTTATAAATACTGTAGTTACTGTACACTCACGTGAGCTGCTGATCAGATAGGCCACTGAATATCATCACTAGAAGAGACTTGTGAAACTCTACTTCAACCTTACTCATACCTGCATACTCAACCACCTAATACATCATTGACACAAGGAAATATTAAAGAATATACTGACTCTTAGAACTGAGAGGGATAGAGACCGATCCCTGATGAGGTGAGATAAGAGACACTGGAGATTGAGGCGTTGGGTCGAAGTAAGAGAAGATAAGGTTTTCAAATGATCCCATAAACAATACTGAAATGTTACCTGAAGACATAAAGAGATTAATGAAAATAGAGGAGTAGTCTCATTGTGTATTATTTATAGCAGAAATATGTGGGCCATTTAATATATTGGTAGCATAGTAGCATAAATAATTGTCACATTGCTTGTTGCTGTAAGATATACAGCAGAAATATGTGAGTCATGTTATCATGTAGGTATAGCATATACATGTATTTTTTGTCACATTATTGCATTACATTACTTGATGGTCTCTCTTATATTTGATAAGCTTTTGACTCAGATATCCATAAAATGGATTAAAAGGATTTTCCTAAAACAGACAATATGTACACTAAAATAATACACATACATTACAGTCTCAATTTACTTGTAAGGAGCAATGGACAATGACAAACACTATCTCTCTCTCTTGGATGCTCTTAAGGCGAAGCTTCACCAGCTTTTCAAAAGCATCAACATAATCCTAAGAAAAATTAATTCAGAAATAGTATCTTTGCTTTTTAAACTGCTTTATATTTTTAAAATTATATTATTATATTTACTTCGCTGCTCATAATAACAGAGAATACAGTCCTCCTTATGTCAGTGTTCATCTGTTGCTCCAGTGATAATGATACAATCCATTTATCATCTTTACCATCATCAACAACAGGAGCAGGACCAGACCCACTAGGAGTAGACCCACTATTAGTAAGAGAGAGATCAGTTAATGATTTGGTTGTATTCCAGTAGCCTCCTAAAAATACAGCCACAAAGGCACAAGTGGAAATTAGTCAAATTTTGTAATAAATTGAGTTATGGGCAAATAAGAAATGCTTGATTAAGACTACAGATGATACCCAATATGTCATCAAAAGTGGCTACAATTTCTGATACATATCTATGTAATAAAATTTGAGCTGATTTTAGTCACAAATTTTAAAGACACATGTACAAGCAGATTTTCACTAAAACACCTAAGCACTAGAAATAACATACATGTACATGTACATGTACAAGTACCTTTGCCACTGGCCTCAAGTAACTCCGAGAAACTCAAATTGATTGCCTGAGACTCATTCAATGAACCTAACAATAATGACACATACATTACTGTGATGATGGTTAATAAGATAGACACCTGACAAGAGTCCTCGTAGTACCTTCTTCATGTGTTCCAGTAGTGTTGGATCATGCTGTGGTATCTTACGGACATTATTAGTACGTATAGCAGAAACAACTTGTAATAAAAACTTCATTCTATATAAAATGAAATAATAAATAATTACGCAGAACTAAGGACTACTAACAAAATCAATTTATTTATTTTAGATTAAAAATATTTCAGTTTCATACC